TGGATATGAGCTATTGGCAATTTTTTTGAAAGTAATCCATCATAATCGTTGATGAAAGCAATGAATGATCGAAACAATAGATATAGTCGATATCAGGTGTGAAATCGTAAATTCTATCGATTGTCAAGGCTTAGGAAACCGCATTTTTACATACACATGGAATAGTCCTAATCGGATATCTTACAAGGATACTAATAAAACGATAACAGAGGCATTTTAGGCCCTGGTATTAAGTCGATTGAACTTTACGAGAACGTGGTCTCAATGGATTAATAAAGAAAAGCTCCTTCATCAAAACAATGTGGCAAAAATGCGATTGTTAATCAAAGGAAAAAAAAAAATATTTATGAGACATATAATTTTGCGGGTGTCCAAGGCGAATTTATATAAGGTGGTGTTACCAGCTCAGCTGATTTTGTGTATGTGTTTCGCCGCGCGGCTTCTGATATCAAATTGAAAAATTTTGTTTGAATTTCTACACACACACTTACAGATTTTGACAGTTTATGCCACCAAAGCAAGAACAAAATACATGTCAGTTTTTGTTTTTGTACTCCTGCTATCACCTTATATTAATTCGCCTTGCGGGTGTCATAATAAATTTTGATTCTCCATCACAAAAATAAGTGCAAACTTGCTTAGATTGTGTTTTTTTTCTTATTTTTAAAGATACACATACATACAGTGACTCAAACAAGTAATCATTAGCAAGTAATCACGTGTTGCTGCTGCATTTTTTTTTTATATTCGTAATGTTTTTCGAGCTAAATTTTGTTTGTTATTTTTCTATAAAAATACTACTTTATATTTAAATAACAGTTTCAAACTTTATCAAAATTTTAGAAAATTCAACAAATTTTCATCAAAATTTCAACTTTTTAATCTGAATCTTTAATTTAAAACCTTTTTGGATAGGCAGTTTTATAGCCGATACAATTTTTGTCCAAAGTGAAATTACAAAAACCGGCTTTGATTTTTTGAAATTTTGTTGCGAAAGGTCTCCCGCATTTTATTTCATAAGAAATTCATGCTTTTATGGAAAAAAAGTGCAAAAATCCGTCAACAAAGAAAATCTAAAAAATCAACGGGTTTTTTTAGCCGTTTGAAACTTCCACTTCATTAGACTAAAATTGTATGGGTTATAAAACTGCATACCCAAAAATGTTCAAAACAGTCAGATTTAAGTTTGCTGAATTTTCTTAAATTTTTTATAAAGTTTGAAACTGTGATTTATTTTATTTTGGTTTAAGCTTGGACAATATTTTTATAGAAAAATAACAAAAAAAATTAACTCGAAAAACATTATGGATATTTAAAAAACAAGCGCCACGTAGTCACTTGTTTGCGTCACTGTATGTATGTACATAACGCACGCCGTCTTCAAAAGAGTCACAACTCAAAATTTGGCATTTTTGAAATTATGCGCTAAAAATGTACACAGAGCTTTTATTTACCTTTCAGCAAAAATTTTTTTGTTATAATTTGTTAAAAAAAAAAACCTGAAGTAAAGTCGCCCTTGCCCATATGATTAGCATGTGCTACGAATTAGTTTTTCGCATTTTGTGACTGTTTAGCTGAGGGAGAGCGGGAGACCAGGTTTAAGGGTGACCATATATGTTAATTGGGGGACTCCATTGGAGGAGTCGTGCTCTAGCTGCCGTAGGCTGCTGTGCAATGAGCTGGGATTTATTTGGGGGGACTCCATTGGAGGAGTCATGCTCTAGCTGCCGTAGGCTGCTGTGGAAATGAGCTGGGGCGACTCCACTGGAGGAGTCATGCTCTAGCTGCCGTAGGCTGCCGTGGAAATGAGCTGGGGCGACTCCCTTGGAGGAGTCATGCTCTAGCTGCCGTAGGCTGCTGTGCAATGAGCAGGGACGACTCCACTGGAGGAGTCATGCTCTAGCTGCCGTAGGCTGCTGTGGAAATGAGCTGGGGCGACTCCACTGGAGGAGTCATGCTCTAGCTGCCGTAGGCTGCTGTGCAATGAGCAGGGATTTATTTGAGGATGCATTCATGCAGAGCCCCAGTGTGGCTTGTAAGCCGGAGCTTACTACCATACCAAAAAGTACTCCGGGAGTGGAGTGGGAGCGATGCTCAAAGCACCGCGTGATAGCCAAGCTAGTTAAGCGTTGACCATCATGATGAGCCAAGCTGGTTTAGCGTTGACCATCGTGATGAGCCAAGCTGGTTTAGCGTTGACCATGCTGAAAATGCCAGCGACTTATCACTTCACTAAGTTCAGCGGAGAGATATTTGAGAATTGCATAAAAAATGCATACCCAATTAAGAACGAGCGAAATACTTTTAAACACAAGTGCGTGTGTGTGTTCGCTGCACTTGGTTTATGCGGGAATGCAATATAAATGCGTGTGGGTGTTCGCTGTTCTTTGTTTATGCGGGAAATGCATAAGTCGCTTAAACAGTGACGAACGTATTATTTTGAGTTGTGACTCTTTTGAAGACGGTGTGCGGTATCTTATTGGTTTGGGAATGCTGCTGAAGTGAAAGTTCTAGTTTTGCCGTAAATAGCTTTAGAACATACTTTTTCCTAAGCGATTTGATAATTTTTTTTTATCACTTGCTATTGTTTATCTCAGCACTTTAGTATAACATGAAATACTCTTTATTTATAGAACCCACCACGAAGGTAAATATTTGAACGTTTACCCTTGACAGTCATACTCATACACAGATTGTGCCTATTAAAAATAGTATTACCTATTTTATGTAAAGCACGTGAAAGTTGCCGGTCCGCCGTGCTAAAAGAAAATAAAAGCAGATAAGTGTAAAATGTTCCGATTGTGTTTATTTGTCGAATGCTTTGGCTTAATCATCAAAATATGTAGCTGGGGGCTTTACCAATCGTACGCCACAAGCGGCATTGCTGACGTCATTTCAAAGCTTAAAGCAGTTCTTAGGAAATGTATCAAGATTTATTGCGGCATATGATCTGCAAAATCAGATAATCGGTTTTTACATAACATGAATTTGAAATGAATTGCGCTGAACGCCAACTTGAGTCAGTTGCGCTTCAAACTCAATAAGAGGAAGTTGTGAGTGTGCGCCAAAGCGGATAGAAAGAAACTGATACATTATTTGGCGGCATTTCTTGGCGCGACAGCATCTCATAGTAGAATTTAATTTAGTTAAAAGATGCTAAAGGCAAATTAAAACTACAATTTAACAAAACAAAGTACATATGGTTACAAAGATATAATTACTTTCGGAATAAAGTAACACACTTCACAAATCTCCCTGTGGTAAGACAAATTTAAGCGTTGATTTTGTTTGTGCAAAAAAAAAAATATACCAAATTCGCTTGTTAAAAAGTGAACGTGCGGTGATCGTGAGTTTCAAAGGCTTGCACATACATACATACAGACATATGTATTTGAATGTACATATCTATGCACGTTTAAGTGTACGTTGTAAAGATAAATGAAAGTGCGATGATTAACTACCATGCCAGAATTCGAATTGAAAGTAGGTTGTGTTCCATGGACAATCATTAGAATTGTAGATTAGCTAAAAATATGCACAAATTCATGCACATATTTACATATGTACCCAACAGAACTTGAAGGGAAATCTTCTAAATTGGGGAATAAAAGTCGACGCCTTTCAACACACAGTCAAACAATGAACATATGCCACATAGATACATACACTAGACGACAAATGAAAGTGTACACCTTGTTCTAATATACATAAATTCACACTTTTTTTAATCAAAATTTGTTTGCATTAATTATTTACGAAAATATAGTTAATTCTATAGCACAAAGTTTCACGCTTTATATAAAGTTCACAAAAATTCTAAAAATGTCCATCAAAATTTTCACCGTTTTATTCGGAATTTCTGCAAAAGCAGTCTCCAAAAAAAAATATATATTCTCAATAATCAACGCGATTTTTTAGCCGGTTGAAACTTGCACTTCGCTAAAAATGAATGAGCTACAAAATTACATACCTGAAAATTTTTTAGAAATTCTGAATAAAAAGTTGAAAATTTTGACGAACTTTTTTTTTTAAATATGAAACTTTGATTTATATGGTTTATATTAGAGAATGAACTATATTTTCGTAAATAATTAATGCAAAAAATTGTTCATGAAAATAATTGTGAATATTAGTTATATTAGAACTTTCATTTGTCGCCTGGTGTATATGGTACATAAAAGAAAAGCTGCTCAAAGCTGAACATCCGCTGCAGGAAATGTTTCTAACTATAAGCTAAACTTAAGTTGATTAGGAAGGAGCTACAATTCACTTATTATCTGTATATCGATCGATAGACTCTATGTTGCCGTATTCCGATTGTAGAAAGCCGTATACGTGTTCGTCTCAGGTTTAAGAAGAATTGCCACCTGTTTATAAAGTTAAATCAAATTGAATTTATAGAACTGATCAAATATCGCAATGCGCGTTATCAAATGGCAAAGAGTTTAAGAGAGCTCATTAAAATAAATGAACGATTTTTTTCAGTCTCACCCCCTCAATCGGTAATACTACGGATAGATATACATAACATTTAAATGTTGGCCCCAATTGGAGACGACTAAGACGTGTCGCACAGGGGGCAAAGTTCAGATTCCTCTATAGGAACTCAAAAAATTAAAATCCTTTTTTTTTCATCTAATACATATGTATACATCCTGAGATAAAATTACTTGATGTAGGTGTTCTGTGTTGTTTTTATATTGGGCTATTGGTAAAAAAAAAAAGTGGGACAATTTTTTTTTTTTTTTGAATTCAAAAGATTGGTACAATACAGCGATGTTCTATTGAAAAAATTCAATAAATCAATTTTCGTGATTGGTATAGTGAAAAATATTTTGGGTGTTCAAGCAGTTGGGATACGATTTACACCAAATTTTAGCAAATACCCAATCGTGTGACACTGCCTTTAAACTTGTATTTATACGGATGTTGGTAAAGAACGAACTATAAAAAACTAACCGAAATTAAATAACAACAAAAATAATATTTTAAAACTTGTCAAAATTTGGTGCGACTATAATTTTTTCGACTACTGTACATAAGTTGGCTATGATTACTCGGCCGTGCATTCATAGTAGCAGTATTAGTAAATTAAAATTCCCTTTTATTACGACATTACAAAACTACTTTTTAACTATAAAATATTCACTTATCTACAAATCTTATGAATAAAATGTATGATATATAGTACAAATACATGCATTCATAGATAGATATGTATATAAATATACTTGAACTTGATAATGTACTCGTATTTACAAAAAAAAAATTACAACTAAAATACTTCACAACTACTTTGATCACTTACATTGATACCTGGCTTCTAAACTAGATAACGTCTAATTCAATCAGAATAACTTGAGATTTTCTGATAAAGTGCCTTAAGCGGGCCTATGGAAGTGAGTACTAGCGAGACAAGGGTCACCACTTGTAGTACATTGATAAATGACCATATAATACTTGAATGGAAGAATTCGTAACCGTAATATTGTGCAAGCAGCGCCGTTAAGAATGTACCAAATCCCACTAAATTGTGAAAACCTTTATTTAGTAAAGGACTTAGAATGCGACGTAAATAACTTGAAAAGAGGGCACTCAAGCCGGACAGCATGCTGATTAGACAGAGAATAAAAGCAGCGAAACCTGTAAAGTAAAAGAGTTGGTTAAATGCGAGATAAAGCTTATTTTCAAATTCCATAAACGCTTACCTAGTCTGTTGTGCAATTGATCCATATTTAGTTTTACTATAACTATCATAACAAGACAGCCGGCAACACCACAACCGCCGCCCAATGTGAGTAGTACCCAATGAATGGTAGTTTTAGTTTTGCGTTTAAAACCATTTGTTAATGGGTTAATACTATAATGACACATTATGCCTTCGGCCATGAGTAGAGAGAACTATAAAGGATATTCAATGAGCTTTAATTCAAAGAGTAGTAAGGCTGAAATGTGCTTGTTGTGGGCGAAAGGTATGGAAATTTGAGCTGATCATTAACTGTTTTTGGAATAACCTCCTTTTAATGCGTTACACATATGTACATGTGTACGTATGTATGTATTCCTAATATATAAGCTTAGTGCTTTTACTCAGTTTTAAGTTATGTTGAAAGTGCATTGTTGCAACTATAAGTCAACATACTTCAGATGGGCTGTCCTTATCACAGGACATTATTATTAATATTACAAGTAATTTTTAGCAAAAAAAAACCGACTTCAACTCTCATATAAAAGAAAAAAATATATATATATCTCATGATCCACTGCTCGGATCTTAACCAGATTAGTATGGGACCACCTCTGAGACACTACCTTTCCGATGCAAAAAGAATTATCGAAATCGGTTGGCATGGTCCAAAGTTATACGGTAACATACATAAAAAAAAAATAAAATAAAATATTCCGACGAACTGATAACCTCCTCCTTTTTCGGAAGTCGGTTAATAAATAGATGAAATGTCTACAGCAAGCCCCTTCTGATGGTCACATCATATGAAAAATGTAAAAAATGTAATTCCCGTGAGAGTGAGCGAGACTGACTTTCGTGACAGACAATTGGCAGTAAATGGGATAGATGGTCACATGAGTCATGATTAATCAGTCCCTATTTGTCAGAATTTTACAATTTTTTTCAGATTATCTCGCTAATTTATAAAAATGGAATCTTCAATAGAATGTGTATTTAATAATGATAAAAGAAGAGACAATATAAAGTGGTTTCTTTTGCAAAATTGGAGTACTTTAAGACCATCAGAAGGGGCTGGCTGTTGTAGACATTTCATCTATTTATAATATTAATAATGCCCGGTGATAAGGACAGCACATCTGAAGTATGTTGTTTTACAGTTGCAACAATGCAATTTCAACATAAGCTGACAATACTTTAAGACCATCAGAATTGGCAGGCAACCTTGAATTCATTTTATATGCACTGTAAATAAAATTCTATCAAAATTTCAAGTCATCTGAAGTATGATGACTTATAGGTGCAACAATGCAATTTCAACATGGGCTGGCATTACTCTACCACCATCAGAATTGGCAGGCAACGTCGAATTCATTTTATATACACTGTAAATAAAATTGTATCTAAATTTCAAGTCGTCTGAAGTATGTTGAGTATTCGGTTTTCATAGACATCTTTAATCGCTAAAAATGCATAATCAAGACCGCTGTTCAGCAGCCAGCCCTCCAGATCTCGATTTATATATTAACAAGCTAAGCTCGCAAAAAATTTCAATCGATCTGAAATATGATGAGAGTTTTTTTGTCATGAGCTCTCCGTCTATAAAATTTTCATAAAAATTTCAAACTTTTTAATCTGAATCTTTACATAATTTTTGTGTATGCAGTTTTATAGCCCATACAATTTTAGTGCAAGTTTCAAGCGGCTAAAAAATAGCGTTAACTTTTAATATTTTTTTTTTTAGAACAAGTGCAATTTACAAAAACTGGCTTTGATTTTTTTTTCGAATTTGGTTGCGAGCGGTCTCCCGCATTTTATTTTATAAGAAATTCATGCTTATATGGAAAAAAGTGCAAAAATTCGTCAGCAAAAAAAGCTATTAAAAATCAGTGCATTTTTTTTGACGCTTCAAACTTGTACTTCAGGAGACTAAATGATTAAATCTCCGAAACGAAAAAATGTGAATTATTTCTCTATATTATTGAAAGTACGATATTATTATCTTTTCTGGGTCTCTAAAGCCTAATATGAAACCAGTTATGATCATTAAATACTTTATGAATTCGCAAAATTCTCACTTTTTTGAGCAAAACCATCAAAATTTTTTGTCATGAAATTTTTAACTTTCGTAAAATCGCACACCGGGATGGTCCGTTTCAAAGAGGAGCATCTATTTGTGGTTGACTTTGAAAGCGAATATTGCCATAACGCAATTTCAGTTGTATAGATTTTGTTTAAAACAGCTTTAAAAAGGTAAATACATTAGTATGTAAATAAATGAGGTTTTTGTTTGAGTTTCTAAACCTTATCATTTAACACTCCGCACAATAAGCACATTTCTATAATATCCTTTTCCCAACTAGATTTCAGTATCAACTTACCCCAATGGTTACTAGGAAGGCATGCAATTCCATAGTACCCATGCCTTTGTAAATACATATCCAAAACATGTAAATCGTTACAAATCCAATACAGGCTTGATTTAAAACCCATATAAAAATCTCTATTCGCTGCAAAATATTTTCCCAAAGAGAACGTTCAGCAGATTTAGAATCCACAGCAGTCATTTTTGAATATCACTTTTTTACTTTTCACCGTTTCGTATCTTTATATTCACATAAAGAGTAAAACGTTTTCACTTTAAATTGTCTTTCAATGGACAACTCCAAACGGTGAATGTTTTATGGTAGAAAGTTAATTGATTTCTCAGCTCCTGCGTTAAAAATGATGGCTTTTAAATAATGTCTTATATTATTGTTTGCTCACGTACGCGATTTATTGTAGCCTCTGATTAAATCACAATAGATAATTAATACATATCATATACATATGTAAATATGTAGATATCATGTAGTTACATACATACGTACATATCTGCATTAATGTAGGCATTTAGATATGTTTATATTTAATATATTTGTTGCCATGCGTTGTTAGTGGTCAGGCGCTTATCAATTACTTTTTTTTAGATAAAATAAAAATTATTCACCTTATATACATACATACATACATACATACATACGTATTATATTCGTATGTATATAGTGCCGCAGGCCCCAAGTATTTTAGGAACATATGTACACAAATTTTAAACTGTGTAAATAAACAAATACCTGTCAACAAACAAATACAAAAGGTAAGCAATACACAAACATACATACCCAGCTAGCAACATAGTCAGAAATCTGTACGATTTTAGCCGATATCGGTCAGAGAAGCGTATGGAGACGTTGGCGGGAAGTCTAACCGACACAACGTGGGAAATTCTCACTTAATTGCCGACGATTCTGACGGATATCTAACAGATGTCTGACCAAATAATCATGGAAAAGAAGAATTATCAGACATGTATGCCCGAAATCGGACATAATTCGATCAGCCATATCGGATAAGGAAATAAATAAAATTATCCAGACATTTCGCCCAGAAATCTGTACGAAACCTGTAAGACTTGTCTAAATAGTCAACTTTTTATTCCGACTTGTCTGATATCAGAAATTGTCTGGCAAATGTGCTAGCTGGGTATGTACGAATGTACAATTGTGTGTACTCGTATTTTGACATACATATTAACAAATTGATTCCCAAATAAATCAATGATAAAGGTGAATACGCAGTGGTTGGTTTTGACAGAATTTTAAACGTTTGAAAACGATTTGATCCCACTGGAAATTCACGCTACATACAACATAGATGAGTTTTTACATAAACAAGAAATAAATCAGAGACGGAAAATAATCATTATTTTTTTTTTTTTAATCTGGGACGGAAAATAATCATTATTTTTTTTTTAATCTGGGACGGAAAATAATCATTATTTTTTTTTTTTAATTTAGCCAAAAAAATCAACAAGTCGTAATCATCGTAAAACAATTTTAACTCTACTCACGTACTTGTGTTCCTACATCCTAATGTAATTTACAATGATTTTTATTTTGCGAGTTTAACCAATAAATATTAAAAATAATAATTAATATTTGAGTTTTATTTTTTCGCTCAAAGGATATTATTATTGCTTAGTTTTTATTTTTTCGATTAAAAATAATGATTATCTTTTGATTTTGTATTTTTTTTTTTGCTCAAAAATAATAATTATTATTATTTTATTTTTTCAATTAAGAATAATGATTACTCAAAAAACTCAACAGCTATACCAGCGTGACTTCCGACCTATCCTTTCCAGAGGTAGGGACACCCTATTTAAAGGAATAAGTCCCAACATTTTTAGGTCAGAATTTCAGTTGGTTGCCGTATGACCTTTTAAATTTTATTTTTATAAATACCACAAGTTTACAAAAAAAAAGTTTCTGCATATTGAACCAAACCTCTATATCTCTATGTTATTCGACGCCCTGAATGCAAATCCGAGGCATGTTAGCCTCCATCACGTCAGGTTGGAGGTCATTTGAAGGTTAAGTAGGGACAGATATATTGCATAAACCAGAAAATTCAACACAATTCTTCTGAATTTGACCTTGGGTTGACCTGGGCATAATCTCTAAATGACCTTGAAGAATCAAGGTTGCCCCACATCCGGATTCAGCGGCACCAAAAACAAAAAAAAAAAAAAATTTTTTTACTGAATACATTTTTTGTCCTAGTTGACCCTAGTTGACGGTTTCCTGCATTTTATTTCATAAGAAATTCTCACCCCTATAGCGGGCGTCATGCTTAGAAATATGGAAAAAAGTGCAAAAATCCGTTAACTGAAAAAAATTCTCAAAAATCAACGGGATTTTTAAGCCGTTTGAAACAAGCACCTCAATCGACTAAAATTGAGTGGCCTAGAAAACTGCATACTTGAAAATTCTGAATAAAAAGTTGAAAATTTTGAGGAAATTTTTTTGAATTTTTATGAACTTTTTATAAAGTGAGAAAATTGTTCATGAAAATAATTGTTAAATTATACAAGGTGTACCCTTTCAGATATCGGCTAGTGTATGTCTCTATTGTTTCCTTTACGGCAGCTGATTTCGATATTTTCGAGTTTACTCGGATTCAGTGATAGCATTTTTTTTCGTATTCGTAGATTTTCTACGATGGATTCTGTGATGGCCCTGATTATAACAGGTCTGGGACTTAACTGTCAGAACTGAAGTTCATTTCAACTTTGCAATTCAATAGTCTTACAAACGATATACAGCGTAGATGGATTTTTTTTTAATCAGAATCTAATTTTTTTGAAAATTGCAAACAGAGGCTATTGCATATAAGCCGTCGATATAGTTTTGGATGCAAACGTTAGTAGCAATTCGGTTGAGTGATCGCATTTTTGTGATTTTAACAAAAATCGGACTACAATGGATTCAGTGATAACCCCAACAATCTCCGTCAAAAAAAAAAATAAATCTGAATAAATTATATAGCATTTCGTTGCCAGTTTCGAATATTTTCAAATATCACATCGAGTCAAGGCACATTAAACAGGTAGTATCAGTAGAGCAAAAACAACATTTGCGTGTATTTTGTTGTTGCTTCTGGTATCGAAAGTGTCAAAAACTGTTCTGAATTTTTTCTTCTAAATCAAAGCGTGCCATGTGAAATACAACAAATTATAAAAAATAAAAAATTGAAATTGGAAAAAATAAAAATTGATGCAACTTTCTTTCCTAGTAAATTTGTTTGCTTCTCGAAGCATTGATCCATCCTTTACAAGGGCCAGTAATCAGCGGTTGTGCTGCTGAGTTGGGCGAACGTTCCAAAAGCTGCTATTCAATCGCTTGTTTTGTATGGAAAAAGGTTTCACATGCAAATGGATTTTAACAATTCAGAATTTTTGTGAGAAAAAATTAAAAATATTTGACATTTTCGAGACCAAATAATTTGAAAATAAATCAAATCAGCTGCTCTACTGATACTACCTGTTCAATATACCTTGCATAGAGTTTTCTAAAAAAAAAAATTTCATACATACATATCGCTAGCTTAGAGTGAAAAGTTGATAAAGCCACGTTTTATGAAAACAAAAAAGCAATATTCCAAAGAATTTTGTAGTTCGCCCAATATGAAAAGGTCTATCAAACTGTAAAGACACTTTTAATAGGGTAAAAAATAAAAGATAAGGAACTCAATGAGCAATCAAAAGCCCATTGTATACGATAATGATGAATCATTCACCACGCGAGCTAACCAGCACTATAGACCGAATATAAAAGAAAGATAAACAAAAACTACATTTATCGCTCCTGCTTCGTAATGTGTAAAATATCTCATGGTAAAATTGTGTTAGTTTTTGCGTGAGGAGTTAATATTCGCAAATTGAAAACTTGAAACCTGTCTACGGAAAAATACAGTTTTTTGAGTTATGACAGTATTTTAGTAAATCAGCGATGTGTAATAGTCAACATCGGCCGCTCTTGCCAATGGTAAAATTGTCCACTAACACCAGAAAGATATCAGATTCGAATCCATGTCAGCGCCGTCTTAAAAAAAAAATAATTCTAGTCACGGAGAAATGGAGGTGTTCAAATCTTATTATAATTATTCATTCTATTTAATTGCGGGAAACTAAATAGAACATATATGCATAACCAGATGATAACTAAATAAACTTTGTTAGAAAGGAAGACCTTTTTATTTGCGACAACGACAAAACTGAACTCCAACGATATTAACTAAGTGTTAAATACTAAAAAGCTCATTATCAAGCATGTCTTATCTGTAGATAACTAATAGTTTGCCTCTATTGACAATATATGCAATCTTAATGCTACTTGTTGCCTTTTTTTTCCTTCTAGCGCCTTGAATTTAAACGTAGCGGAAACAAAACCCGTTGATCCTCAATAAAGTCACAAAAACCAACTGGGCGCAATGGTCATTAGCAGCTATACATGGAATCTTGCCAATCAATGTTTCATCTTGGCCATCACTGTTGTAATGTCGGTAAAATGCGCTGAAATGAAATTCAAAAAAACTGCCACACACGCTATTCTTTGTACGATCGGGGTGAGTATGAAAAGTTGAAAATATAAAAAAAATCTAACAATAAAAAAATATTTCACATGCAGTTTGTATTTCTTTCTGCGGAAGGCATGATGGTGCGTTCCCACAATAATTGGCTCACACGTTCATTACATCCGGATACAAAAGTCACTTTACACTTTTGGCTGCAGTTAATAGGTGGTTTATTGGGGGTAGCCGGCACATTGCAGAAATCACTGCCAAAGGAACACCATTTTCGAACGTGGCATGGAAAATTAGGTATGACAATAGAGGAAGCATATATATGTATGTATATACTCCTTTCGAGAGTTGCATATTGGAAAGACGTAAGCGAAATTTTTTTCAAAATTTTTTTTTGATGCAGAAATGTTACTGTTACTCCCAAAATTGAATTGAATTTCTAAAATTAAATTTTAGTATAATAAAATGTCTGAAAATTCGCGTTGATTTTTGCGAATTTTTTTTTTGCTGGCTGTCCGCATTGTTTTCATATAAAAAAAAAATCTAAACATTTTTTATATGGAAAAATAATCGTAATTAATAAAAAAAAACCTTTAGCATGTAAAACATTGCGAATATTTACAAAAAAGAGCGGTACGCTCAATTTCGGGAGTAACAGTACATAAATGCATTTCTGAATTAAAAATAACATTTTGAAAAAAATGTCGCATACGTCTTTTTGATGGTTAGGACTGGATATGATTTAAGAAAACGTAATCCTATTCATAAATTACTTTTTAGGCTTAGCTGCGTGCGTGTTTTTTGTCATAAACTGCCTTTCTGGCGCGTTGGGTCTATATTCCTGGGGTTACCGCCAGTATGCATCGTTACTAGTTAATGATTTCATTCACAATTTTCTAGGACTGTTAACATTCGTTACGGCCATGTTAGCGCAATATTCTGGATATTATACAGGTTTCTTTAACCGAAACCTAAAGGAACATGAAGCATTTTTTAAATACTTGACGGCCGCGATCTTGTTGCTGACTGCATGGGACCCATTGATGATATTTTTGGGAAAGCTCTTTTAGATGCATATATGTATATATAAGTATGTGATTAAATAATTAGGAAGCTAAAAAGTGATTGTACAAAGTACAAATTTAGAAATTGTGGAAATGAATTTAACAATAAATGTACAAGTATTTTTAATTATGCGAGAGTTTTTGCTTCGGTAAGTATGGTATGGTGGCGGCTGCTGTGGTATAGTGGTAAGCAGTGCGCGCTTTCACTCATCAGCACCTGGGTTCAAACCCTGGTCAAAGCAACATCGCAAAAAATATAGAAAAAAGGTTTTTTCTTAACAGCGGTCGTCCCTCGGCAGGCAATGGCAAACCTCCGAGTGCATTTCTGCCATGAAAAACAGCTTCTCATAAAAATACAATCGGAGTCGGCGTAAAACTGTAGGTCCCTCCGCTTTGTGTGACAACATCAAGGCGCACGCCACAAATCGGAGGAGAAGCTCGGCCAAACACTAACATATGTGTAAGCGCCAATCTATTATTATTATAAGTATGGTGGCACTGAGAGCTGCGTTCTAGCACGTTGAAAGATTCCTCATTTGCGTTGTCGTTTGTTCGTGCCCACCACGCCGGTGATGCGTCCAACACTTTTTCGTTTATAGCTGGATCTTTGTCGGCTCCCCAGATACTGCCGGCGAGCGACTGGAGGAATTGTTTCCTGTGGCTGTTGTGAACGGCTATAAGTTGCGATAGCGATCCGAAAATCGTCGCTAATTCCCTACTGTCACATAGTTTGACGCGATGTGCGCGGAGAAGAAAACTCACTGGTCTACCTGTTGAGAAATGTGGCGTTTGGTTTCGTGCGGAAATGTCGAGGTTTCTAGCACTGAACAAATTCGAAAAGGTTGCGGATGTTTGGCCCCATCGCCATGATTTCATAGTCGTCTGCATATCTCACAAAGTGTACTCCGGCTGGCGGCGAGAGCTTAGCTGTATAGAATTAAAATAATGTCGGCGAGAGTGCGCCACCTTGAATCGGAATTTTTGATCTTTAATAACCTCATCTATATAAAAAAAATCGAACGTACATATTGCACACCTATGTAGATCTAAACTGAGATAACTAAAAATTCAGATCGGGAAATATAACTGTTTGTGGATTGTAAAGATTCAACGCAATTAATACAAATCAAGTATTACAGTAGTTTTAGAGTTACTGTATATAACCATGAAACAAATATTTGCATTAATTGGAGGTAAGTCCTATGAATTAATTTATGCAGAAAAAAGTCCCAAAATTTTTTTTAGTTGATCACACTTTAGATCCAGAGGTATGCGAATTGCTACGAACGTGTGTATTCAAAGTATACGCTATATATATATATATATGAAAGCATTTTAGATTTTACGAAAAATCGGGCTACGATGGATTCAGCGATAGCCTTGATTATTTCGCACATAGGGGCATCTCTTTTTAAATATATAATCCTTCGCCACGTTCTCCGGGCCGAACCGACCCATCTGTAATCAATGATCTGTTGGTCTTCGTTGGCGGGATAGACCTTAGAGTAATGTTAAAGGTAGTTTTTGATTATGTTTTTTGTTTTTTATTATTAATTCCAATAAAGTGAATTTACCATGCATACATATATATTTAGTTTCTCTAATTAATTTATATAGATCATTCGGAAATGTTCGTATGTATACATTGGTAGGGTAAAATGAGATTGTTTGATTATATGAATTTATGTATACTCAAGTTGTATATGGTATGTATACATTCGATTATAAGATATACGAAACCACAAAATATATATTCAAAGGTACATAAAATATTTCAAGGGACGTAAAATAGGAGCAGTAAAATGAATGGTAATTTATTGAGCAAATGACTTCTTGATGAAAGTTCATTATTAAAATGGGAACTGAAATTAAAACTTCATGTTTGGTATTGCAGTTTTAGCGTTTCAGTAATGGAACGAGTGCATACGTGAATTCATATTGTAATCGAAAAAGGGGACTTAAAAGCTACAACGAATCTTAAAAACTAAATGAGCTGTCAAATATGCAGCATTTACACTATTGTTTAATTGTTACTTTGGTTCTGTGCCGGTGACATCAAGTCCAGTGCAGCCGATATATTGCCATTGACAGATTCAAGCAATTGTGTTAACCATCCACCCTCATTGCTAAAGCCCATTGCCATCATGGCATGTATAGCTTTATTGATACTAGCATCTGTTCAGAATTAATATGTTGTCATTAACTACAATTAACTACTTCTACTTTTAACTCACCTGTATGATATACTATAGGTTCTTTTTGTGCCTTGGGTGTAGCGCCAGTGTTATTGGAAACGGATGGTATATTTTGGTTATTAAGAACGTCAGCAAGTTTGAATTTCCTTTCAACGCGCTCGTGTTGCTTCTCTTTTTCAACATGATTCTTTAAATCAATGCTAAGTTTTTCGAAACTAACTTCAGAATTGTTCTCAATGGATTTAGGTTCAACCACTGGAGTTGGAGCAGGAGTTGGTTCAGCTCCAGCTACAGCTCCGGGCGACTCAATTTTTTCAATAGATTCGATCGAAGTAGAAGTCGAAATATCAATTAAATTTATGGTGGATTCAGCAGCTTGCCTCTCAACCATATGCCAGTCATTTTCTTCGCTTTGTGAACGGCGACGCTCTTTAGTTTGAGATTTTTCGATGCAATTTTCCTGTGGAATCGGGCTAGAGTTGGTGGTGGTATCAGGATTGACAGGCGCTACAGCTTTCTCTTCATCTTTTGTTTGGTCGCTTTGATCTTTCTTCCCAGTAGCTTTCTTTTCGTTTGCGCTGATGTTTGTATTGGTTGTAGTTGCTGACTTGGATGTTGCTGAGCACATTGAGCTTGTTGCTGATGCTGTAGAAGGTTTTCGTGCTTGGTACCCATTACCAGCAAAACCCGAAGCATAACTTTCATCACCTACATCCATAGGTTCAAGCATTTTTGCGAACATACCGCTGAAGTTATTTAGCAACTGAATACCGGCTTTCATGAATTTAGGGTCAATAAATTGAGCAATATCTTCAAGAGTTGGAGTAACCGGGGCTGAAGTGTTTTCAAATGAATTGTTGTTATTACTGTTTGGATCAGACTGAGATGTAGGAGTCGATGTTCCAGTACTAGCCTAGAAAATTGAAAAAAAAAAAATTAAGACTTATTTATTCTACGCCATTATATTTCCAGAAACTTACTGTTTTTGGAGCTTGCTTTTCTTTATCGCCCGCATTTTCTTGAGATTGCTTCGGAGCAGCAGCAGCTTCAGCAGTAAATAACTCATTCACAACTTGGGCAGTAGCTTGCTCTGCAGCAGCTGCGGCTTCTAAAGTTACCCTTCCAGCAACCTCGGCAGCTATCTTAGTTGCAACCTCAGCGGCTTTAGTTGCTGCTTCACAAGCTGCCATAGCCGCTTCATTTGCGGAATTTTCTTCATTTGTTTTTGCATTATTAGTTTTGTCTGAATTATCTGCCTTCGGGGGAGCACTACGTGGTGGAGTGCTAGATGCATCTTCGTCCATTTGCCTGTAGGTGGCGCCACCTTCGGCAAAGTCAGACATCATTTCATACATATGCGACAAAAAACCATTTCGCATCTGACGACGGTGATGCTTGCGTTCGTGATGGTGATGATGCTTTCCACCTCCAGTGCCAACGTTTGCTTCCGTATCAGTATTTGCACTGCTACCATTTGCATTGGCCGATGTTGCGGCCGTGAACTCGAAATAGGGACACCCACTGGCGCTAGAACTCTTTCGCTCACGCTTAGAACGTCGACCACTACCTCGGCCGCAAGGGTTACTTATCCAGGCATCAATAATATTGGGCGAATTTTCAGTCGGCATACGAACCATCATGTGCTCCGGATGCTTATGCTGAGCTTCACAGCGTTGGCACAAGTCAAAATTAGGGCATTGAATACATTTGTAGCGAAAACCGACAATCGGGGCCAGGCCACAAGCATCACATTCTACATGTTCATGGATAACAAAAGCAGCTGGATCGTCCTCGCTTGGAGCGTTCTTGTCTTCATCTTTTGACGATTTCAACGGGGTAACATAGATGCGCTGATTCTCAGTACTTTCTAACAAGAATATCTCGTAATCGACTTGGTTGACAATCTCAATTTCATCGTGGTCAGCATCTATTTAAAATAAAGTTGTAATAAGTAAAATTTTTGTTACTTAAAAATGGCCGCCACTAACAGTGAGCGTTACTTATTTGCTAGTCATTGTGGAGTTAGGTTAGATTATTCCTTCGTTTGTCAATAGTACGAAGTATAAGTTCCTATGCATGTATGTATGTACATATGTGCAGATAATGTATAGAATGGCGAGTCTTAGCAGGTAAACAAATAACAAAAAAACTGTGCAGTTAATGAGTCATTATAATCGATGGAAGCTTCGTTTTAAAATCGCGATAAGACGGAATACATACAAAAAAAACTGCTGATATCTTCTTATATATTTCTATTTTAGTAATATTGTCCTGATGTAGGCAGTAAAGGGGCATATGTATGCACTAAATATATAATTATGTAGTTGGCTGCGTAAAATGACTTTTGGACTTTTAGGATACATACAAAATGCATATATAGATCAAGCTTAACTCCACAAATAAACTACTTGAAAAACCTGTATTTCTTTTATTCTTACCTATCCAAGTGATCTTAACATCACATTGCGGCAGCTTGCGTGTTTCGAAGAGGCATAAAGAGATCTCTCGCTTCAACACCTCAAAAGTTGGTGATGGCATATTAAGATAAGTATGCAACTTGCGCTTGTCATCCTCAAAAGTAACTTTCAAGTACTTTTCGGAAATCAAGTTACGGCGTTCCATTTCAAATATTTTATACTCTTTATGAAGGAAAATATGTGGAGCTGGATTGATTGTTGGATATCGTCCTCAGTTAGTTATATATTTCCACTGGTTTTCAAAGACACAGATTTCGATATTTTGTTGGTCGGAATATCGCTGTTATCAAAAACACTTCTTTACTGGTCAATTCACTTCGAAATTATGTTTACTCTTCAGTTCCTTCCTATGTTTTTATACTGCGCAGTTGAGTTCTACAACACTTTAGGTTGCTTCTTGTATGGCTTGCAGCTAGCTTCGCGTATTTTCTTGAATGTTCCACTTTTCAAATTCTGCAACTCACTATAAAATATTTTTGTCGGTCTCTCTTTCAGCTAATTCTTAAACGTCACGAAACAAGCTCTAAATATGCAACTTCACTTGTTGAGACGAAATGCTAATTATTGTGAAATCTCAGACGATGACGCTGTGTGCAATGGCTGCCAACAGAAAATGTACACGAATATAAACGAGCCGAAACGAATGTTACGAAACAGGACACAAAACGGAAATAACAAGAAAACAGCTGGCTGAATTAGCGGTAGAACTATTGTGAACGAGACCAAAAAGCAGAGTTGCAATCAGTGTTGCCATTGAATCGTTTTCCGGCTAGATTTAGCCGGTGCCAAAGAACGTAAATGTACAAAGAACGTAAATGTACATTTACGTTCTTTGGTGCAACCAAGAAATAGATCTAAATACACTCCGAAAGCAGCATCGTTCCCAAAATTCGCGTTTACTTTATTTTAACACTGGAACGCACTGAAGTCATGGGAAATTAAGTCGCAGGTAAGCTGAGGATGGTTCAATAGTCTCCCTTGGAGCCCCGTTAGCAAAATTACTATGTACGGTTGAGGAAGAAAGTTCATTACTGGGAAAATGTGGAAGCAAATAGGCAGGCTGAATCCTTCCCTTCAGAAATACCTCTAAAGAAAACTAAGCGTTAAATGCCATGGTGGTGCTGTGCACTTGGTAGAAGCATTCCCAAGACAGCCGGTTCTACGTACCGGAATGACTCGGGTTTTACCCGACCAAGGGCTGTTGTTTCGGCGACCTAACGCAGCTTAGATCGGCGATACCCCTCAATCATTGTTCGTCCATGGAGCAACTCCTTGCAGCCGGATTGCTCCGCATCCTTCTTCTTCGGGCGGGCGTAGAGCCCAACCCCGGACCAGAAACGTATTTTTTTTGTGCTGTGTTTGCCAGAATCGACTCCGTCCAAACTCCACTTCGGTTAGGTGCAATTCATGCAACGGATGGAGTCACCTAAGAACCTGCTCTGCTCTTAGGTCCCATCGGGAGTGGACCACAAGCTATGTGGCTCCCTGCTGCTCAAGCCAAACGGCACAATCAGCCTCGACGGCTACCCGCTCGCGCAACGCACCCAACACCTGAAGAGCCTGCACGGCTCCGAGAAGCTCCTCTGGGCAGCAGCAAACCTCCCACCAGCAGCTCCTGGTTGCACACACCACCTGCACCGTATGCCAGAGCAGAATATATCGGAACATGACATCGGTCAAATGCAACTCATGCCTTGGCTGGGGTCACTTCCGTCTATGCTCCGGTCTACGCACCACGCGCGAATGGACTTCGAACTGCAGTGACCCATGCTGTAGAGCACCGCTGACACAGACAACAGCGCCCTCATTGCAGCCACCTACCAACAGGCAGCAACCGCAAGCGCGTCAGATGCAACAGGCCCAAGGTAGACCTCACTCCTCCCTCACCCCCCGTATCGCGACTAGCCTCCCATGGCATACGAAACTCCTACAACTCAACTGCAACGGACTCCAGAGTAAGATTGAGGAGATAGTAGTCTTTTTATGGGTCGGCATGGCATATTGATAGCTGCGGCCCAAGAAACGAAGTTGCACAGCAACTCGACTCTATTGGGTTGCGCCGCCTGCAATGTGCTGCGTAAAGATCGCGAACGAGATAATGGTGGCGGACTAGCGTTCATCCTACACCACACAGTGCAGCATCGGCTTATCGAAGAAGACATCGACCCGACGGACACCACCCTAGAATGTCAGGGCATAGCTGTCCGGTCAGGCGATGTCGAGCTCGAAATATGCAACGTGTATATACTCCCTGTCACCTGCTGCCCGGCAGGATATCACCCTGACATAGGTGCGCTACTCAGATCTCTGGCACTCAAGCCTGGCCAATGATCGTAGGGGAAACCTTTTGGCTGAGCAGATAGACGATTCGACATTCTGCACCATGAACGACGACGCCCCCACCAGGATTATGGGTAGCTGCTGCAGCTCGCCAGACCTCACAATTGCTAGCGCTGGTTTGATCAATAGCATTTCATGGCGACCCATGCTAACACTAGCATCAGACCATCTACTCATAATCATCTCGATCAATAAGCCCACCGACTTTGCTTCCGCGGGCCACCGAACCTAAACCAGCTTCAACATTGATTGGGACGTCTTCGCGGAAGTTACCGAGAGCAGCTTCCCACATCCACAAACATACATACTGGCGAACGCCAGTTCCGCAGGGTAGTCACTGCCGCAGCGGCTCGCTTCATCTCGTCCGGACGTATCGCGGAAGTCCGCCCAAATTCCCCGGCCGAAGCAGCTGTACTAGCAAATGAGCGTGACCACCTACGACAGGTCGACCCCGGGGACCCTCGTCTGAGGGACCTTAATTTGGCGATTCGGCAACTGGTAAATCAGAATAAGCGGAAAAGTGGGAGGAGCACTTGAAGGCCTGTAACTTCACATCTGGTGTGAGTAAGCTCTGGTCAACCGTGGGGTCCTTGTCTAACCCAACGAAGCGTGATGACAGAGTGGAAATCTCCTTCGAAGGTCGCGCTTCGTCGGACCCGAAGAAATGCGCAGCCTTATTTAGTAGGCAATTCACACTGCACCCTTCGGTAGACAGGGCCAAGGAGGCTGCAAAAGCTGCCAAAAAACAGTGCACCACTTGTTTTCACCAGCTGTAAAGTGAAGGGGCCATCGGGAAGGCGAAAGCCTCCAAATCCATTGGACCCGACGGAATCTGTACGCTGATGCTAAAACATTTAGGGCCTAAGGGAGTAGCTTACCTAACGGAGGTCCTCAACCTGTCCATGGCTACTCTCATCATTCCTGATGTGTGGAAATCAGGGAGAGTGGTCACACTGCTGAAACCGGGGAAGCCCGCCAACAAAGGAGACTCTTATCGCCCGATAACGCTCCTTTCCCCGGTCGCGAATACACTTGAGGCCCTACTACTCCCATACTTCACCTGCCACCTGACCCCAGCGACGCACCAGCACGTAAAGTGCACAGCGCAACAACAGCACTTAACGCCATAAACACCCAAATAACTCGTGGCCTAAATCGAAACCGCCCCTGTGAGAAAACGGTCCTAGTAGCGCTGGACTTGTCAAAGACGTTTGACACCGTCTGCCATTCCACGCTACTAGAAGACATCGAGGCCTCCTCACTCCCACAGGGCCTGAAGCGATGGTCGGCGAATTATATGAGTGTTTGACAGTCGTCAGTAATCTTCCGAGATCAAACCTCGAAACCAAGAAGGATTAAACAAGGGGTTCCACAAGGTGGTGTTCTCTCCCCCTTACTATTTAACTTCTACATCTCGAAGCTTCCTCAACCACCTGAGGGGAAACTCCCTCATATACTGACGATTGCTCGATTTTGGCATCCGGGAATGGAATTGATGACCTCTGCTCAAAAGTGAACGACTATCTCTCCAGCCTTTCTGGCTTCTTCACTGCAAGGAGCCTAACACTTTCCCCAACGAAATCAACGGTGACCCTCTTCACCACCTGGACGAAGGACGTCAGGCTAGAGTTAGGTATACACGTCGATGGCACACCAATACCGACTATAAACAAGGGGTCACCTTCGATAGCCTGCTCTCCTACTCCACGCACACAACCGCAGTTGTCAATAAAGTACAGAGCCGCAACAAGGTCCTCAAGTCGCTCGCCGGCAGCACTTGGGGCAAAGACAAAGAAACGTTGCTGGCAACATAGAAGGCAATTGGCCGGCCGGTTCTAAACTATGCTCCGCCAGTTTGGACGCCGGAGACTAGTTGGACGCAGTGGACGAAGCTGCAGACTTGGGAACACAACAAAATGCTTTGTAAGCAATTTCTGGTGGGGCAGGCACGACAGGGGGCACCTATTCGTATACAAGGACGCAGTCCAACAATACGTAGACCAACCACTGGGCCCGACGACATACAGACGAGCCATCAACGACATTCATAGAGAGTGAGTTACCACCAACCTCGACTCTCGACCTATGAATGCCGTAATAGGAGCCCAATCACCACCTGTAGAAGAGACGGAGCTTCAACTGCCAAGAGAGACCCGCGTTACCCTGGCTGAATTACGGTCTGGATACTGTAGCCGCCTCAACAGCTACCTGTCCAGACTCGACCCCAATATCCCCAATGAGTGCCTGGCATGTGGAGAATCCCCCCACGAAACCAACCACCTCTTTACATGCCAGCTCAATCCGACTCAGCTAACACCCCTCTCCCTCTGGTCCGAACCCATTGCAACAGCTCGTTTCCTGGGCCTCCCGTTAGTTGAGCTTGACGAAAATGATTGAACGTAGACCCGAAAAAAGCGGGGCTTAGTAGTGCCGCTACAGCAACAACTTGGCAAAAGCCAGGCGGATGCTTCGCTGGGTTCAGGGATACGTAAGGTGCGGGATTGGCAAGTCCTCTAGTGTTTTTGCGACAGGAGAGTGGTGTGTTATCGGCCGATAACACTCTCCTTTGTTAGTAGGCTTCCCCGGTTTCAGCAGTGGTACTACTCTTCCCGATTTCCACACGTCGGAAATTACGAGAATGGCCATGCAGCACACATATGCCGGCGATGCCCTTGACTTTGGAGGCTTTCGCTTTCCCGATGGCACCTGGATCGCACCGCTAGTAAAAAAACACAAGGCGCAATGCAGAGTGAATTGTCCGCTCACATAGCTTGCGCATCGCTCCGGGCCCGACCAGGCACGATCACCGAAAGAAATGTTCACTTTCATCACCCTCCATAGTTCGGGTGGTAACCTTACGGTTACCAAGAGCTTTCTTACACCAAAGGCGAAGTTGCAAGTCTTCAGATGCTTCTCCAACTTTTTTCGGTTGTACTGCTTTACCAGTTGCCGAATCACCAGGCGTTCCCGTGATCGGCCTGGCGAAGGTGATCACGCTCATTCGCTAGAACAGCCTGTCCTCCAGTAGGAACGAAGAGAGCTACATCTGCAGTTCGCCAGCGTGAACGTCTGTTGCCATGCCAAGGGCGGCGAATATGACCCCGGTAGCTTCCACGAAGCCGTCACAGTCAGCTTTGTAAAAGTTGATATATCAAATATATATATGAAAGTTTGACGATCTGTCACTTATCACTAGTGAATCAAATGCAATATAAAAAAATTATGACCGATTTCTGCAACATTTCTGTAGATAACCAGTTGAGCATCAGCACTAGAGCATCAAGAAAGCAACAAGTCTGCAATATTGCGGTATCAGGGCAGCCGGTGACAATTCCTATGTAAACGTTAAATATTTCGAACTCAATATCGCCTTTCTGGATAGGACATCATAGCATGGCATCCCTGTGGTCGATACCTGCTTGCACGAGACGATGTTGCACAGTATGATCGGTGGGCGGGTCGGAGTAGAAGGATGCAGAGCAACCCTGCTGTAAGGGGTTGCCCCAGGAACGAACAACGATTAAAAGATTGCACCGATCCAAATGCGATTAGATCGCCGACAAACATCCCTTAGCTGGGTAAAACTCCGGAGTCATTCCGATACATAGAACCCACTGCGTGGGAATGGTTTAAGTGCACCTTTCGCTGCAGTTTAAAGAAGATGCAGGTTGAGATAGGGCACAATTTTGATCACATTTAAAATCTCTAAAAGGATTTAGACTTACGTTTATCCCCACATTCGTTAGCTAAGCCAGCTGCTTTAGCCGATAAGTTGGGCGGATTTTCGCTATTCGTTGAGCGGGGAACAAACAAGCTATAACTGTATTGGTCACATTATGGAGTTTTCGTTATCCCAAACAACGTTTAAATAGGAGATGAATTGATAGCTTTAATAAACCCTATTTATTCCACTTTCGCTTGTTCAACATCTCGTGCAAAACAAAAATTATTTTTACACTTTATATTTACTATGCCTCTTTTTGCATTTATCGATCGATTTCGCCAAATACAACATCCAGTGTACCAATGATCGCCACAATATCAGCTAACATATGTTGCTTGCCAATTTTATCTAGCGCCGCCAAATGTGCAAAACCGGGGGCCTTAATCTTGCAACGATATGGGCGGCTTGAGCCATCAGACACCAAGTAAACACCGAATTCACCCTTTGGTGCTTCAATAGCCGTGTACGTGGCACCAGGCGGTACTTGAAAACCCTGGGTAAACAGCTTAAAGTGATGAATGAGCGCCTCCATGGAGCTTTTCATTTCTGCACGTGAGGGTGGTGTTATCTTAGCATCATCGGTTTTTATTTCGCCAGCTGGCATTTGATTCAAACATTGATCGATGATCCGCAACGATTGGCGCATTTCTTCTACACGACACAAATACCGATCATAGCAATCACCCTTGGTGCCAATAGGTACGTCGAAATCAACCAAATGGTAGGCGTCGTATGGTTGCTGCTTACGCAAATCCCATTTGATGCCCGAACCGCGCAACATAACGCCGCTAAAGCCATAATTAAGCGCATCTTCGGCAGATACGATGCCAATATCGGCAGTACGTTGTACCCAAATACGGTTTGTGGTGAGTACATCTTCAACCTCGTCCAAACGTTCGGCAAACTTAGAAGCAAATTCATAGATGTCATCCATTAGACCAAGTGGCATATCCTAGAGCAAGAAATTTAAAAATTTAAAATAATTTTTGTTATAGTTGCTCAACCAGAAATATACCAAAGAAACGCCACCGGGGCGTATATAGGCTGCGTGCATGCGTGCACCGGAAACACGTTCATAGAATTCCATCATCTTTTCACGTTCCTCGAACAGCCAGAAAAACGGTGTAAGCGCACCCACATCCAAAGCATGTGTGCCAACGGCCATAATGTGATTTAGGATACGTGTGATTTCGGCGAAAAGTGCTGGAATTAAACCAAAATATTGTTTTTAAATAAATTCGACAAAACGTCAGGGTCGGAAAACTAACTGCGAATATACTTGGCGCGTAGTGGCACTTCAATATTAAGCAATTTCTCTATGGCCAGCGAATAGCATTGCTCGTTGCACATCATGGATACGTAGTCAAGACGATCAAAATATGGCAACGCTTGTGTGTAAGTTTTATATTCGATCAACTTCTCAGTGCCGCGATGTAACAACCCAATATGAGGATCAGCGCGCATTACAGTCTAAAAGGTTTATACACAATGTTAATTCTAAATAAAAATGTAACAGAAGAATCAATTGCAAGCTACCATACCTCACCATCTAATTCTAGGACTAAACGTAATACACCATGAGCAGCTGGATGCTGTGGTCCAAAGTTAATGGTTAGATTGCGCACCGACTTTTCCACTGGCATAATTTTGCCTACGTAAATATGAATGGTAAAAATTAGTTTTTATTCCATACATACATATACATAAGTAGGCAAAAACAAAACATACTATTCCAAGGGGGTAGTTTCATGAGGGCGGTAGACTCATTGGGGTACATAACAGGTCCGCTGAATTGTTTCATGAACTCTGGATCAGGATACCATTTCGCGGCACCGCGGGCCTGCTGTTTATCGCTAATGGACGAAGAATATAGATTTAATATGAAAAAACTTAGGAAACAAAGTAGCACAAACACGATAAAAGATCGAAATAAGTACATACATACATATGTATGGAATCCAACAAACAGCTGTTTTCATGGTTAGTACAAAATCAATAAATGGAAATGGCCAGCAATTTTCTTATTTTTAAGTGTCCAACGACTGTTTAATGTTTTATATCAGACTTTCTAGCGGAATATTTATTTCAATTTATTATCACATTTTTATTTACATAGTTTACCGGGGGTTCATTATTAATTTATACTTTTTCTCATTAGCCATCGATTATGTAAGCCTATTAGTGTTTGGTATGCTTAAATTTACGGCGATAGTTTCGATATCACAAGTTCGAGTCATGCAAAATGCTGAGCGTTTATGGGTAATAACTCCACTATTAAACCACTTACCTGCCTAAAGAGGACCCTACGGCCGCTATAGCCTGAGGCCTCAACATTTGTAGCCCGGAACTGGATCGTTTCATCAAAACATTCATCGCTGAAAGTGCCATCATTGCACAGTTATTTGCTTTATTCGTTGGGTTGTTTCAATGGTGTTCTCGTTGGACGTTGTTAACTTTTTCCCAAAAGGATTAAAAGCGCGCGCCTGCCAAGGAAAAGTAGGATTTCAATTAAAAGAAAATTTTGCTCGAGACCCAGAGGCACGTAATGAAAGGAGCCAAAAACAACATTCACGAAATGCCAAAATTGACATTCAGCAAATGTCAATTGCGGATTTGCGAAACTTGGGTGCACTGTAAAATGTCTTCAACAAATATAATGGATAGTTTACATCAAGGCGAATTTATA